AAAACTAATTTCACAACTCTACCAAACTAATTTCACACCTAAATTTAACATTTTTTAATTCTTTCATTTGTCACCCGTTAATGTAAATTCTGATATTTTTTTTACTTCAAATTGACAATGGTTAAGCATTCTAGTGTATTTGAAATCTTGGATAATTGTAAGATTTTCTTCCATAATCTTCACTAACCATTCTAGTGAATGTAAAATCTTCCAAAATTGTTTTTTTAACTGAGTTGGCTTCATTAGGTACCAATGTGTTAACCAAATATTTTGTCTTCTCATGTATGCTGCAATTACACATTTCACGGATTATTATGTGATATTTATGAGAAAAAAAAAAAAACATTATGAAGTTTAATAAGTAGGGACACTGATCACCTTCACCATCAAATTAAGTTCTTCACACAGTTCTGCCAAACTAATTTCACATCTCTGCAAACTAATTTCACACCAAAATTTAACATTTTTTAATTTTTCATTTGTCATCAGTTAGTATAAATTATGATATTTTTTTACTTGAAATTAACATTGGTTAAGCATTCTAGCGTATTTAAAATCTTGGATAATTGTATGATTTTCTTCTATAATCTTCAATAACCATTCTAGTGAATGTAAAATCTTCCATAATTGTTTTTTTTTTAACTGAGTTGGCTTCATTAGGTACCAATGTGTTATCCAAATATTTTGTAATCTCATGTATGCGGCAATTACACATTTCACAGGTTATTATGTGATATTTATGAGAAAAAAAATATTGTGAAATTTAATAAGTAGGGACACTGATCACTTTCACCATCAAAATAAGTTATTCACACAGTTCTGCGAAATTAATTTCACACCTCTGCAAACTAATTTCACACCTAAATTTAACATTTATTAATTCTTTCATTTGTCATCTGTTACTGTAAATTATGATATTTTTTTTACTTGAAATTGACATTGGTTAAGCATTCTAGCATATTTAAAATCTTGGATAATTGTATGATTTTCTTCTATAATCTTCAATAACCATTCTAGTGAATGTAAAATCTTTCATAATTATTTTTTTAGCTGAGTTGGCTTCATTAGGTACCAATGTGTTATCCAAATATTTTGTCTTCTCATGTATGCGACAATTACACATTTCACAAGTTATTATGTGATATTTATGAGAAAAAATATATTGTAAAGTTTAATAAGTAGGGACACTGATCACCTTCACCATCAAAATAAGCTATTCACACAGTTTTGCAAAACTAATTTCACACCTAAATTTAACATTTTTTAATTCTTTCATTTGTCATCCGTTAGTGTAAATTATGATATTTTTTTTACTTGAAATTGACATTGGTTAAGCATTCTAGCGTATTTGAAATCTTGGATAATTGTAGTATTTTCTTCTATAATCTTCAATAACCGTTCTAGTTAATGTAAAATCTTCCATAATTGCTTTTTTTTAACTGAGTTGGCTTCATTAGGTACCAATCTGTTATCCAAATATTTTATCTTCTCGTGTATGCGTCAATTACACATTTCACAGGTTATTATAGATATTTATGAGGAAAAAATATTGTGAAGTTTAATAAGTAGGGACACTGATCACCTTCACAATCAAAATAAGCTATTCACGCAGTTCTGCAAAACTAATTTCATACCTCTGCAAAACTAATTTCACACTTAAATTTAACTTTTTTTAATTCTTTCATTTATCATCCGTTAGTGTAAATTATGATATTTTTTTTTTACTTGAAATTGACATTGGTTAAGCATTCTAGCGTATTTAAAATCTTGGATAATTATAGGATTTTTTTCTATAATCTTCAATAACCATTCTAGTGAATGTTAAATCTTCCATAATTATTTTTTTTAACTGAGTTGGCTTCATTAGGTACAAATGTGTTATCCAAATATTTTGTCTTCTCATGTATGCGGCAATTACACATTTTACAAGTTATTATGTGATATTTATGAGAAAAAAAATATTGTGAAGTTTAATAAGTAGGGACACTGATCACCTTTACTATCAAATTAAGTTATTCACACAGTTCTGCAAAACTAATTTCACACCTAAATTTAACATTTTTTTTAATTCTTTCATTTGTCATCCGTTAGTGTAAATTATGATATTTTTTTACTTGAAATTGACATTGGTTAAGCATTCTAGCATATTTGAAATTTTGGATAATTGTAGAATTTTCTTCTATAATCTTCAATAACCATTCTAGTGAATGTAAAAATTTTCATAATTGTTTTTTTTAACTGAGTTGGCTTCATTAGGTACCAATGTGTTATCCAAATATTTTGTCTTCTCATATATACGGCAATTACACATTTCACATGTTATTATTTGATATTTATGAGAAAAAAAAACATTTTGAAGTTTAATAAGTAGGGCCACTGATCACCTTCACCATCAAATTAAGTTATTCGCACAGTTCTGCAAAACTAATTTCATACCTAAATTTAACTTTTTTTAATTCTTTTATTTGTCATCCGTTAGTGTAAATTATGATATTTTTTTTTTTACTTGAAATTGACATTGGTTAAGCATTCTAGCGTATTTGAAATCTTGGATAATTGTAGGATTTTCTTCTATAATCTTCAATAAACATTCTAGTGAATGTAAAATCATCCATCATTGTTTTTTTTAACTGAGTTGGCTTCATTAGGTACCAATGTGTTATCCAAATATTTTGTCTTCTCATGTATGCGGCAATTACACATTTCACATGTTATTATGTGATATTTATGAGAAAAAAAACATTGTGAAGTTTAGTAAGTAGGGACACTGATCACCTTCACTATCAAATTAAGTTATTCACACAGTTCCGCAAACTAATTTCACACATCTGCAAAACTAATTTCACACCTAAATTTAACTTTTTTTAATTCTTTCATTTGTCATCCGTTAGTGTAAATTATGATATATTTTTTTTTTTACTTGAAATTGACATTGGTTAAGCATTCTAGTGTATTTGAAATCTTGGCTAAATGTAGGTTTTATTCTATAACCTTCAATAACCATTCTAGTGAATGTAAAATCTTTCATAATTGTTTTTTTTTTTTTTTTTTTTTTTAACTGAGTTGGCTTCATTAGGTACCAATGTGTTATCAAAATATTTTGTCTTCTCATGTATACGGCAATTACACATTTCACAGGTCATTATGTGATATTTATAAGGAAAAAAACATTGTGAAGTTTAATAAGTAGAGATACTGATCACCTTCACCATCAAAATAAGCTATTCACACAGTTCTGCAAACTAATTTCACACCTCTACAAAACTAATTTCACACCTAATGTTAACATTTTTTAATTCTTTCATTTGTCATCAGTTAGTATAAATTATGATATTTTTTTACTTGAAATTGACATTGGTTAAGCATTCTAGTGTATCTAAAATCTTGGATAATTGTACGATTTTTTAGCCTTTTTCATTAGTTTGGTAAATATTTAGTATTTTTTTTTTTTTGTCACAAATTATAGAAACTGACTTTAACATTTTGATGGACCTTTTGCTTCTTGTAGCATTCATACTGAAGTTATCCCAATGGACGACGACTTAAGTACTAATGATGTGAGAACAAGCGTTCCAATCGTTGCCAAAATCAATATTTCTAAAAACTTTGTAGCGTAAGTTGTCAATCCCATTGACATAGAATTCATACCAAAATTGAACATGCAGTTTGACACTGAGGATGAAGCATACGACTTTTACAATGCTTATGGGGGTAAAGTTGGATTCAGTATTCGTAAGGATTATGCAAATCAAAGCCGTAAGATAGGAAATATTACAACAAGCAAGTTTGTGTGTTCCAAATAAGGTTTTAGGGTGAAGGACAAGAGGGATATCCATACAAGAATGCCCAGGGCTGAAACTCAAACTGGTTGTGGTGCACTGATGCAAATTAGATATGACCACAAGAAGGGAAAATATGTTGCATATAATTTTGTTGAATCTCACAATCATCCTATGATAATTGAAGAATGCACACATATGATGCCATCATAACGAAGAATAAGTGTTGCCCAGGCAATTGATGTGGAATTAGCCTGCCAATCTGGAGTTCCACTCGGTAATGCATTTGAGTTAATGAGCAGGCAAGTTGCTGGGAGGCAATTAATTGGCTACACCAAAGTTGATCAACAAAATTTTCTAAAGACAAGAAGACAGAGTGAGTTAGAATACAGAGAGAAGGCATGGCTGATGAATTATTTCAAAATTCAATCTTGTGAGAATCCTTCATTTTTCCACACCGTGCAGTTGGATAGCGATGAAATGATAACTAGTATCTTCTGGGCAGATTCGAGAATGATAATTGACTATGGGCATTTTGGAGACGTCGTCACATTCGACACGACATACAAGCTCGTCCAAAGCAATCGTCTCTTTGCGGCTTTTCTTGGTTTGAATCATCATCAGGATACTGCTGTCTTTGGGCTAGCATTAATGTATGACAAGACTGCCATTTATTTGCGTGGCTGTTTGATTCATTCTTGAATTCAATGTCAGGTAAATACTATAAATGTAATTCTTTTTTTTTCTTCTTGCAATTATTTTGGTCATCATATATATATATATATATATACTTTTTAAGCCTTTAATAATTGAACATGGCCATTCTTTTTTACCTTTTTTATGTGAATTACTTTTTCAAATGAAGATATTTTATTGGGCCATAATGTTCTTGCCTTTAAATTTTCAATACTGTTAAAAATTTTAGTAATGATGTATGATAAGATTGCCTATTCATTTACATGCCTTTTTGATATATTCTTGAATGTGATATTAGGTAAAGCACCACAAACGATTCTTACTGACCAAGATGGTGCAATGGCAAAGGCGTTGGCAAAAGTTATGCCGAAGACAAAACATTTACTTTGCACGTGGCACATCATGGCAAATGCACAGAAGCATGTAGGCACCATTTTTAGGAATGATGAAGGGATTAAAAGTGTGCTGAGTCAATTCATGTACTGTTATGATGATGAGGATGATTTTTATATATAATGGGATATAATGTTAAGGGACTACAATGTTGTTGGTAACACATGGTTGAATAATTTGTTTGGTTTGAGAGAAAAATGGGGTTATCCATTTGTTAAACATTGGTTTACCGCTGGAATGCGGACAACGCAGCTGAGTGAAAGTCTAAATAGCTGCTTGAAAGAGTACTTAACCAGGAAAATGAGTATTCCAGATTTCTTCATGCACCTTGACAGGCTATTGTCAGACAAACGGTACAAGGAATATCAAGCTGAGTATGGTTTACTCAGTAAACTACCTAGACTTAAACAAAATTGTCCCATTCTAAAACAAATGGGCAATATGTACACGTTGAAGATTTTTGAACTTTTCCAGGATCAATTCATAGAAGCTTGTGTGGTTGCTACCGTGGAAGGAACAAGTTTAGATGAAAATGGATTACGTGTTTCTAGAGTATCTGTTCATGATGGCAGTATGGATCGGACTGTGACAAGGTGGGATGATGGCTTTCTAAGTTGTTCGTGCGGGAAATATGCAATGGAAGGTATTTTGTGTAGCCATGTACTTAAAGTACTGAAAGACGACACTCATTATTTCAAAGAATTACCTTCTATGTATATACTAAAAAAGTGGACGAGAAAAGCTAGGGATAACAGCGTACAAGATATCCGTAGATGTGAAGTTATTGCTGATCCTAAACTTGAAGTACGCCGAAGGTATAGGATGTTATGTCATTTTTTTTTACAGAAATCAGCTCATTTGCATCCAAGAAAGAAGAGGTATTCAATAATTTGATGCTAAAGGGGATGAAATGGAAAAGAAAGCACATTAATATTGAAAGGCAATGTTCCAATGTTGAACAGGAGGCAACCAATTCAGCTTTTTCAACTGAAAGAAGTAATAATCATGAACATAATGAAAGTATCATTGGGCAAGCCGTGATCGGAAGTAATGCCAAGGGTATAAAGAATAAAGAAACAGGTGGTAAGGGACCAAGGCGCAGGAAGAAGAATAAGTTTGAACAATACATGCAGAGAAAAAAAAACTATGCGAAACGAAAGGTTAATTTAATTTATTTTTTATTATTTGATAATTTAATTTTCCAGTATATGTCATTAACATTTTGATATTAGCAATGTCATAATTTTGTTTTTACAATGAATAAATCTATTGTTTTGTAGAAATCAAATGGCAACAACAGTGTTGGTGCAGTGGTACCGTGCCACCTATTACATATGTACGTCTGAATGTGAGTTTTCTCCTTTTCTTAAATGAAAACATTGATTTTTTATTTTTTTTTATATTATGTGATACCCCCCCGGATTTCCGAATGCGGGTTGGCCAGGCCCACGTCCGAATACCCGAGGATATCAAAACAAATTAATAATAAACGAACACAGAGTATAAAAGAATAAAGAAGAATAAATAAAATGCTGACAAAAAACTAAAATGATAATCTAATAATAAACCTCAGAATATATTTCCATTAATTGATAAACTCTTCTGATACAACTGATTCTCCAAAATACAACTTGGGAATCCATACTGCGTGGACCCCTAGAAAATCCAAACTAAACAAATGACAGCAATAACTGTCTAAATCAGGAAACTGAATCATAAAGGAAATCCTATGTAGCATCGGAAGAATGAAGTAAACTGATCCCTGCTCAGCACGAACAACCTCTACTCCTGACGAACACCTGAAAAATAATGGTGTGTCAGGCCCACAAACAAGTTCTACTCTACTACAGTCCAAGCAGAGATCCGATACACGTATACATCCTAGTCAATCCAACAGTAACTAGTAGTTCGTATATATATATATATATATACACACTAAAGGAACCTCACTAGACTATAGGGTTGTCTCAACCTGAATAGTAAGCAACATGCAAAACGCAAATATAGTGGGCATGAATACCTAGACCTACCAGGGTACACAACTATACTATATCTAGCTACACATCCCTGGCGATATACGCACCCTAACCATTGATCCTGAGACTCAAGCTCATATCATGGCACCATACTTATATATATATAATCTAGTAACCATCCTATCCTGCATAAATTAATCCTCCATAAGTCATTCAACTTGTTCAGCTGACCTGACTTGAATATAAGTAGGACTTAACATTTTAGTTAATCCATTCCCTTATATAATAAATTAATCATCCATAAGTCATTCAACTTGTTCAGCTGACCTGACTTGAATATAAGTAGGACTTAACATTTTAGTTAATCCATTCCCTTATATAAAATAGGTAGGACTTAACTGATAAATTAATCCGTCTCTAGAATGCCACCGTCCCATACCGGTGCATTAAATTACACAATTCAACAATTGATGTAACGATTAAGGAAATACATCAAACAATCCAGAAATAACTATGATAATATAATTTCAAGTTATCACAAAATAGGAATGACTTATTATTTATTTAAGTTTCCTATATCATATGTCCTACATAAACTGAATCTTATACATATGATGATATTTTATTATACCGTCAAATAAGCATTGTCTATATCCAATTCATCCTACACATTTAATCTCAATTGTTAAAACATATTAAAAGATTAAATTCATTCGTTTGTTTAAAACATTCAAATAGCAAGCATCATTATGATTGAGTCTATTTAAATTTATTTAAACCCAAACCTAGTTCCTATTTAATGTTCAGGAATCCTAGGCATATTTCTACGTTCCATTATTCCACAGATATGAAATATACATAATTTAAACATATAAAAATTCACACCGAAAATCAAATCAAAATCATGCATTTATCAATTCATAACACAAGAATAGATATGAATCAAATTCATAAAACCTATGTTCTAATCCAATTAAACATGCATAATTATTTAATTTTCTGTGTTTAATAAATCCTGAAATTTCCTAGGCATGTATAGAAACACGAATCAAAGGGAAAGAGATAGAAGAAGAACTTGCCTTAAACTTTCGGATTGAAAGTTAAACTTCTTCTTCCTTGATCTTCTCTCTAAATGGTTTTCTCCTCCTTCCTTCCTCTTTCTCCTTCTCTCTCTAACTCTCTCTCTCTTTAGAATATATTACGTGATATATTTTCACTCCTTTTTCAACCTATAGTTGTGTATTTATAGGCTAAATAATAACCCTATTCCTTTTCCCAATCCAAGTCAACTTAATAAAGAAAAATAAAAAATGAAAATATTAAAAAGGTAACTTAAAATATGTTACGTATATAATCTATGTATATCCTTATTAATTAAATAAAATATATACATTAGATTATTTATTAATACTAAAGTTACCATAATATTAAAAGGTAACTTAAAATATGTTACGTATATAATTTATCTATATTCTCATTAAATAAATAAAATATATACATCAGATTATTTATTTATACTAAAGTTACCATAATATTAAAAAAGTAACTTAAAATTTGTTATGTATATAATCTATCTGTATCCTCATTAAATAAATAAAATATATACATCAGATTATTTATTTATACTAAAGTTACCATAATATTAAAAAGGTAACTTAAAACATGTTACGTATCCTTATTATATAAATATATAAAATATATATATTAGATTATTTATTAATACTAAAGTTACTATAATATTAATAAATTACTTTTCTTTTTATATATATGTATATACATATATATCTATATATATACATATAGAATTATCTATGGGTAATTATCCATACCCATCCAACCTCCTATCCAAGTAGTCCATGGGACCCAATTAGTTAGCCCATTACCACTAACCATAACCATAAAATAAAATAAAATAAAACATTTAATCATTTAATTTACAATTAATTAAATACATCATTTAAGCACACGATCTAATTAAACAAATAATACAAATAACACCTAGACAAAATACAAATAACACATAAATAAGTAGCCAATTAATCAATTAACATTTAATTCAATTAAACACATTAACAATTAGTCAAATAATCAATTAAACAATTAAAAAAATACAATAAAAATAAATAAATAAATAAATACCGAGACTATCCTTTTAAAATTAGGGGTATTACATTCTTCCCTCCTAACAAAAGGAATTCCGTCCTCGGAATTCGCCCTTACTTCTTTCCATTATTCTTCCATTATGCTTGAAAATTGTGAGCGAAAAACATCCTCCTATTCCCAAGTAGACGCAACCTCACTATAAGGGCTCCACTTAACTCCAATATACCAAGTGGTAGACAGGGTTCCTATATTTTAAGAAACACAATAATCATACGATGTATAGGTTGTATCAAATAATAACGTAATCCTCCCATGTCGACAAAGGAATGATCTACATACCTCCAAGTGCCATAGAATACATGCACAAACTCCTATGCACCTAGCGCTAATAATTTGGTAAAGCTAATTCAGAGACGACTGCCTCAATTGCGAAACACAATCTTCTAAAAGTCAATGTAAAAAGTAAAATTTACCTTCCTCTAAAAATCGCCTTCTTCCTATATAGAAAATAGAACGAGCAAACTACTCCCTGATCGAAAAACTCTAGTATACGAGTTCAACTATTTACAACATCCTACTGTTGCCTCCCAACCGCGCGCAGTTCAATAAAAAGGGAAGTATCTCTTTCCGACATATTTTTAAATGAAGTCAAGGTCTGATTGTACAACCCATACTTCCATTTCCAACCAACAAATGAGAGGTATGCATTGTGAAAGATACAAAACCTCCAAAGTTGTCACACTAACCTCCTTGTGCCAACAATATCACAGATAAAATTCCGACAAGTGAAGTAAACATTTCCAACTATCCATGAAAATCTAGGATATACACCTCAAACACATCCGTTATCGTCTAATTTAATCTCTCGATTAATTCCTCCGTCTATAGATATGAAGGAGAGCTGCTGTTCCAAAATCTTCATAAAGCTCTTTCGAAATAGCACTTTGCATCCACTAATATGGACATCCACATGTTATAACACCACTATCACTGAACTATAGAATTACTATGAAGTTTTAAAATAAGTATCACTCAAATTTATGTCTTCAAGCGATCTTTCTCAATCCACCACTCAGATTCCATATGGAAAATTAAAATTCCAAATCAATGTCGATCCTTCCCATCGACCGTCACTCCTATTTAATTCAACTTCGATATTTGTTATAGGAAGTGGCTAAAGATTCCTACGATATCCGATGATCCACCTTTGTAGCAGGTTTTACACTTAGGGCAATTGTATATGCATCCTTATCTGTATCTGTTCACCAAAATCGACATTTGATGTCATGATGTACCTTCTAACCGTTTGATCACACCAAGAAAAATTATAAATTTTCTAGCTCAGTCGCCTGACCGTTATATCATTATTTACAGAAACTACGAAATCCTCCTCGAGTACCTTAAACTCCATCTGAGTAAGGTAACACCGTCTTCAAGGTCAGCTCCAATATTCAAAGTTGACCTTCTCAACTACCGTAGTAATAACAAGTGTTATTATTACACCTGCTATAAATGCATCTAATAACTCAACAACTAACCGAAAGATTTAAATATTCTATCATTTGTTGAGAGCATCCATTTACATCATTGCTTCCACCAGACGGAACTTGATATAAAGTGTGAATCACCACTGTAATCCATCTAAACCGTCTCGTGATCCATTCTATTCGTATGAACTAAAATCCTACCAGTTCGAAATAGACAAGAATCAAGTTGACCTAATGTATCAGTCAACCAATATCCCATCCAGAATCCTGACCCTTGTGTAAAATCAGAAATCCCGCAACTAAATTTGTAAAATGTTCTCTTATTTTCACTTTAGTATAGGAAATGGCTGCAAAGGATCTAGTGATCTTTGATGGTTAATCTCTACTATCTAATAAATATTAGAAGAACTAAAAGTTGTGAAACTCAGTCCGTGCATCCTCCATCCAATTTTTCTATAGAAAGTACCGTTAGTCCAGTACCACCAGCTTTCGTCTGTACCCAACGTTTAAATTGGAGCGTCTTCAAAAGTGAATTCTGTAACTAAATCTATCCACCACTGATCTGTGATAAATTTGCCGATATTGAAATTCAATCAGTAATTCCATTTATCAATAGTCAACTATGACTTTAATTCAACAAAAGTCAACAAACTACGACCTTTCCATGCATACCATGCACCTCATCTTTATAAAGGTGTTTGGTCTCACCATCTTGTCTTTGACACACCCTGCTTCTTTAAAACAAGTTAATGACAATCTGACTTCTTTGTCTAACTTCAA